CAAACTAATATAAAGTAAGAAAAAGAAAAGAAAAAGAAAAAAAATCAAAGAGAAAGCTTTCCTACAAGAAAGGGAAAAAAAGTAAAAGAAAGAAATAGAAAAGAAAGAAAAAAGAAGTAGTTTCCAGTCTTCTTTGTAGCAGTTATAAGTACAATTATAAATTTACTTCTTACTCTATGGTTACAACATAACTCTCCTCCTCCTATAATCTATCCTGTCTAATCATCAAAATCCTAAATCGTAAGTTCATTTTTTTTCCTGTTTCACACAAAATGTCTGTAAGGGGTTTCCAGTCAGCAATAAACATAGACATTGTCTTTTCTCTGATCAAAGAAGTCAATTTAGCCATCTCAGCAAATTCCATCATCTTCACCAACTATTCCTCCATTATGGGTAGTGCCAAATCTTTCCATCTTCATGCATACAGTAATCTCGCTACAGTTATCATATACAAAAACAAAAGCTCCTTATTTTATTTTTATTGATCTGCTTATTACGTTAATATTCCATCTTTTCATTCAGAAGCTCAAGGGTGCATATATAGCACTCACTCCTATTCTTTCTCAACAACCCTACAAAATAGGTTGAGCTGTGAGAAGAACTGACTGGTCCAAAGTCACCAAGAGAGTTTCCAAGGTTAATGGTGGACTAGAATGCTTGGCCCTGCCCCATGCCCTTCTTAGAATTCCCCCACCACAATGGGAACTTGCTGGTTAGGAAAAAAAATCAACTTTTAAAAAAACTTTTAAGCAGAAGGAAGGGAATCTCTTTGTCCTTCTGCAGAGAGAAAGTGCTTTTTCTGTAGGAAGGAAGGAAGAGCAGTTCTTCATTTTTCATTGAGAAGGACAGTTTAAGTGGTGCACTTCTTGGGAGCTGGAGAGATGATGGATCAGTCTGGATGAAGTAGAGTTCCTTTCCACAGGCAGTGGAATGAAGACTGGGCTGGAGAGCAGAGGACTAGAAGAGAAATAAGAAAGTTGGAAATTTAAAATCTGATAAGGGTGATCTTATTGCGGTGAGGAATATTAGAGCTACCTGGACACTGGTGTTCAGCTGGAGGACTCTGCACAGTTAAATGATTTGAGTAATGGGTGACAAAGTCACAGTGGTCTGTAGAGCGGTAGCCAATGCTGCTGAGATAGTCAGGCAAAATCAGGACTACCACTGTTGTCACAATGCCTTATTAAGATTGCAACAGAACGTCCCATTGAAGGTGAGATCTTTGGAGGGCTTGCCTTGATGACCTCCATAATAAAGTGATGAGAGTTGATGTGGATTTGGACATTTTCCAAACTGCGCTAACTTCACTTGGACCAAGGAGTTACAAAGCAGAAACCTGATTTGTATATTCTCCTGGGCTTACCAGAGGTGGTAGAGGGCACATTCCTACCATTCAGGTGTGTGGAAAATTATTTAAATAATTTAAATGCATTGGAGTGCCCAAGAATTGGGCACTCTCTCCAGCATTTTGTACCTAGCTACCCAGTATAGCACCAGTGGTGTCTCAAGGGGCCTGGCTTTTAAAGACCCGGAGACGGGGAAACTGCATTGAGGGAATCTGGTGACCTCAGGCAATTTTATCATCAAAGTAACTCCAAAAGTGAGGTTGGTTGCAACGTGGAACTGGGATGGCTGTCTTGGATGAGAGAGAAAATTTATTCATTTTAGGCACTACCCAACTCCAAACTGACTCTGGTCAGTATACGATCAAGTTAGCAGAATAAAAATAGAATACAATAATTATGAAAAAATAAATAAGAACCAGCTAGCCACACCCACGCGCAATGTGGCAAGGTGTCAGGTTCAGCCCAAAGAACTCCACGAGACAGTACATGTGTAGTTCGATAGCTTTTATTAGC